TTCTCGGTTTTGGTGCGACAGCTGGCAGACTCGCAATGCAATGGACCGCATTTACAATAATAAAGGGAAGTTCTTGTAAACTGAAAAGTCATCTTCTCCTCGGTCATCTTGAAAGCTCTTCGTTAAGAACAATGGCTTCCGGCGCAGCGCCAGATGTAAGTAAGGGTCCTGAGGAAAAAGTGACTGTGCATAGAGCCCATTGTGCATTAAAACATTCAGTTTAATGACCGGTCTATATTAATGCGCTGCTTTAATTGACGCACAAACCCACATCACTCGCACACAGAGATCGGAGATCGCGCTGCGCAAGCACAGAAACATTCAGGAGCTCAGAAAATTGGGTAACACTTTACTTGAAGGCTCTCTCTCTCTCTCAAAATGGCCATATTTTGGGAAAAAGGTCAAATAGATTGCATCACTGGATATAGCCTAGCTGTCGGTCATTTAACATTTCTATTGTAAAACAGTTGACTAATATTAAATGATTTGCATCTTACCTCACTCTGTTTCAACGTTAAACAGATGCTTCGCACTGGAATTCACGCTCTGCTTCTGTGAACAGTAAACCCCACCTACTTTGATTTGATTGGCCATCTCAATTATTTTGTCATTGATCTGAAGCACCTCGTATGCACAGTGGTTGCGCGAATGATTTGCCGGAGCCACGAATATCTGTAGACTAGCTCAAGTTAATTCTCGCATTTTAATAGAGGTACAAATATGCATCTTTTAGGGTACAAAAGTGTACCTTTTGAAAAGGTATGGCCCCAGTGACAGCTTTTGTACCTTTTTTCTTAAAGTGTAGTGTGTGAAGCTATTGTGCATCTGCTCCCAAGTCAGTTGTTCACTGTTTGCTCACATTTTAGTGCATTTTCTTTTCCGTTGGCACACTTTTAACTTCTGCAGATCAGCCAGTGCAAAAAAAGATGCTAAAAGCATCACATAAATTCTGTGTAGGCCTCAACATCTACTAAATGATTTACAATGCAACCAGGCAATAAAAACACATACACTTGCACATTACTGAAACATGTTTGATAAAATGTTTTTTATTGATATTAAAAATGAAAGTACATGAATTGTGCATTTCGGACGTTCTAGCGTGCAGAGGTTAAATCAATTAAAATACACACAGGCTGCATGGGCTACTGATATTAAACCGTTGCCGATGAAAGACAAAAGATCCCTTCATTTTTTGCGCAAAATGTTTTCCTTACACGCCTTTTTCACATGGAAAGTTAAATAACCAGTTTGGAAAGAACAACAGTGGATGCAGTCCTTGCAGGAATAACAACAGAAAAATGGCAATGTCTTCGGAAATATGGGATGTTTGAATAATAAAAATAATGATAGTAATTATAATAATTGCACTGCTTCATCACAACTGATATGAATCAGATAAATACTGGATTATCAAGGCAGAGGGATACACTGCAGGCACTTAGACCTTTAAGTTTCAAGGTACTAAGCGATACTATAGTATCATTTTATGACCTTAAAGATGGGGCACGTACAAGAATCAATACTGACTTCTTGTGCTTGGCGGAGAAACTGCAAAAAAATGGCCTTGTATTGAGTTTTCACATAAATCCGCTGATATTTCCTGAGTATTAGGGTAACTAAGTACGGTAGCCCTTCAACAACTGAGATGAAGATATATGGAGGACTTGAAAAAACACCCCAACCGAAAAGAAATAAGAGGATTTAGGGCATATTGTTGTAAGATGGCGAGATCGAGGGGATGTATAAACAGTCCACCCTTTGTGACATCATAATGGATCTTGGTGACATCATATTGGTTTCGTTTTTACTTTGCTTTACGGCTGCGGTTGAATTACTCAGCAACAATAGAAAACATTGAACCAGGCACAACACCTCCATCTTCCTGCAGGCTCTTCTCAACGCCAAAAACATGGCTTTCTTTTATGGATTACCTTAGAGAAGCCCGAAAATTACGATACGACTACGAAAACGGCACTAAAGTGGCTTAAACTGTAGTGGGGTTGTGTACAATCACGGCATATAGAGACCGGGTTATCCAGATCCTCGTGAGGAAAGTTAAACACAAGTTTTTTTTTGTAGTTGTTTTTGTTTTTTTATAAACAGAAATCCATTTGGCAGATTAAAAAGCCATGCGGGAGGGAGAGAAAGAGAGAGTCTTCTGAGTATGTGCCTATTTTTGTATTACAACATGCCTAAGCGATCCAGGCTACAGCTGCTGTTAAAATATTGATTTTAATATAGCTCTGTGGCGAACCAAAAGGGAAAAAAAAGATTTTTTTTTTGGTACAAAGCATCTACAAAAAGCATTTACATGTAAAATGGGAAAATAAGAGAGCATATAAAATAAAATCCATCAGTTGAGCATCAGTGCTATGTATATTACTGTATTTGGACCGATTTTAATATATAATTTTATAACAAAATAAATAATGCCTTTATACAGTGCCCATATTTGTACTTAAACAAACGAACAAAAAGAAGCTTGGCGGCTCATTACGCAAGATACAGCTCAGACTAAAAGAATATTACATGATGTCCCTGGAAACTAATTATAATATATATTTTCATATTTATTTCATATATATTTATATATATATTCAAGTATTTGTTTTCAGGCAAAAGCATGTGAATACTACGGATAAACGTAAAAAATATATGTTAGTTTACATTATTGCGTTTTTTCCCTTTGAATTGATATTTGTGCCTTTTTTTCAGAACTGTAAAATAACGTTACAAAAACACAAAGCCTATTTTGCAACAACAAGAATGTCACGGTACCAGAAACCAAACTGGGCTTTTTTTTCTCTGAAGCATTTTCACGAAAAAGAACATAGAAAATACAAACATCCCACTTTTTCAAGGTCACAATGTCTTTCTTCCTGCAGTGCAAAGCAGGGGTTTTGTGCAGCCACGCTCGAAAGGAGACGTGTTCTCCACCTCCAGGCATTCGAACATGATCCCTTCGGCGTCCCCACACTGCTTCTTCCTTTATCGCGACGGCAGCGCTGAGACCCAATGCATATGTCGCGTCTTACGTACACGTCTGCATGCAGCGATATCCCTCGTGCTCTTGTTTTCTCTTTCAAAAGTCACACTTTCCTTAAAACGGAAAGTTTAATAAAGTTTCAAAGAAGAAGAAAAAAAAACGTGCTTTTCAACCCCTTCTCCTTTGAGTCCATTCCCAAAGCTAGCACCATGACATTTTTTGAGCTACGCGTTCATAGTCCATAAAAAAATAGTGCCTTTTTTATTTACTTAACAAGAACTTTGACGTAATCCGTGGCGATGTGCAATTCGCAGACTCTTCTCTGCTTTTCATTTGTGATTACAAGGTGCTGGAACAGGAATCTAATTTTACAACAATTCCTTACAGTGTGGATGTCCCTTTATAGTTACAGGTGCAAACTAATATGTAAAAGGACTAAAAGAGAGATACTTTTGTCTCGGGAGAATGCGGTGGAATGGGTTCTTTCATGCTAGCTCAAGCTGTTCCTCGCGCTCCGATGTCCTCCGAACCGGTGAAACGTTCAGCGTTCCGCGGCTTCTTCGTTCTTTCCTTTGCTTCTTCACCTGAATTGCGTTCCTTTCGTTTGTGATGTGACTTTTTGTTGGTGAATGAAACAGCAAGAATAGAAACTGGAAGAGCGTGTGAGCACGTCTGGTGGGGAAGGAAGAAGGGTTGTTGAGGACTGCCACAGAAAGGACGTCAGAGACAAAAAGCTTTGATCCCCTAGTCTTTTTTTCATCGACTCTGTGCAAATGATCCTGGTTTCACTTGTGGCTGACATAGTCTTCTGTGGGAAGAAGGATGGGCGGCAGCTTGCTGGGAAGCGTGATGAGAGGCCTGTGGTGGTGCAGTTGCTCCTGGGCCCTGATTCTCTCCGCCTGCCGCCTAAACTTCTTGGCCCGCAGGATGGCGGGGACACCCCTCCGTAGCCTCTGGGCGGCCTTTCGTTGCCACACGTCGTATTTGGAATATTTCACGGTCACGTGTTTTCTTGGGACCTCCTGTTGCAAGAATAACAATAACGTTAGGAACTGACTCTAGAGAAAGGTCAGAATTCTCACAGATTCTACTGGATGATCTCTAAAAATGAGATTCAAACCCCTATAAAACTCAAACTTCTCAACTAAAAATGTAAATGACTTTGCAGATATTTTGTCAAAAATAGCCAAAAATCCTTCAACCACCAAGAGTTACTCACCCTCATGTTCTTCCAAATAGTTTCCTTGTTTTTTAGCCCATACAGTGAAACTCAGTGGGGTTCATTGTTGTTTTGGACCCCATTGAATTTCTTTGTATGGACAAAAATAGTTGAATAATTCATTAAAATACCTTCTTTTGTGCTCCACAGAGAAAGTCACACTTTCCTTAAAACGGAAAGTTTAATAAAGTTTCAAAGAAGAAGAAAAAAAAACGTGCTTTTCAACCCCTTCTCCTTTGAGTCCATTCCCAAAGCTAGCACCATGACATTTTTTGAGCTACGCGTTCATAGTCCATAAAAAAATAGTGCCTTTTTATTTACTTAACAAGAACTTTGACGTAATCCGTGGCGATGTGCAATTCGCAGACTCTTCTCTGCTTTTCATTTGTGATTACAAGGTGCTGGAACAGGAATCTAATTTTACAACAATTCCTTACAGTGTGGATGTCCCTTTATAGTTACAGGTGCAAACTAATATGTAAAAGGACTAAAAGAGAGATACTTTTGTCTCGGGAGAATGCGGTGGAATGGGTTCTTTCATGCTAGCTCTAGCTGTTCCTCGCGCTCCGATGTCCTCCGAACCGGTGAAACGTTCAGCGTTCCGCGGCTTCTTCGTTCTTTCCTTTGCTTCTTCACCTGAATTGTGTGCCTCTGGTTTGGGATGTGCCTTTTTGTTGGTGAACGAACTGCGGTGGAATGGGTTCTTTCATGCTAGCTCTAGCTGTTCCTCGCGCTCCGATGTCCTCCGAACCGGTGAAACGTTCAGCGTTCCGCGGCTTCTTCGTTCTTTCCTTTGCTTCTTCACCTGAATTGCGTTCCTTTCGTTTGTGATGTGACTTTTTGTTGGTGAATGAAACAGCAAGAATAGAAACTGGAAGAGCGTGTGAGCACGTCTGGTGGGGAAGGAAGAAGGGTTGTTGAGGACTGCCACAGAAAGGACGTCAGAGACAAAAAAAGCTTTGATCCCCTAGTCTTTTTTTCATCGACTCTGTGCAAATGATCCTGGTTTCACTTGTGGCTGATATAGTCTTCTGTGGGAAGAAGGATGGGCGGCAGCTTGCTGGGAAGCGTGATGAGAGGCCTGTGGTGGTGCAGTTGCTCTTGGGCCCTGATTCTCTCCGCCTGCCGCCTAAACTTCTTGGCCCGCAGGATGGCGGGGACGCCTCTCCGTAGCCTCTGGGCGGCCTTTCGTTGCCACATGTCGTATTTGGAATATTTCACGGTCACGTGTTTTCTTGGGACCTCCTGTTGCAAGAATAACAATAACGTTAGGAACTGACTCTAGAGAAAGGTCAGAATTCTCACAGATTCTACTGGATGATCTCTAAAAATGAGATTCAAACCCCTATAAAACTCAAACTTCTCAACTAAAAATGTAAATGACTTTGCAGATATTTTGTCAAAAATAGCCAAAAATCCTTCAACCACCAAGAGTTACTCACCCTCATGTTCTTCCAAATAGTTTCCTTGTTTTTTAGTCCATACAGTGAAACTCAGTGGGGTTCATTGTTGTTTTGGACCCCATTGAATTTCTTTGTATGGACAAAAATTGTTGAATAATTCATTAAAATACCTTCTTTTGTGCTCCACAGAGGAAAGTCGTAAAGGTTTGGAAGAACATGATGGTGAGGAAATTATGAATTTTGGGCAAACTATATCTTAAACATATATTAACATAGAGCAAAACTCAATGAAAACTCAAAATGGAGAATGATAAGTAGGGGGATAAAGGCAGTTCCATTTGTCCCCAGTGTACAACCATCTAGTCAACATCCCAGGCCATTTTGAGAGACTGGTTTTGTAACCCAATCCAAGTATGTGATGTCAAATCAACAGGAAAATTTCAACCTATGTATGACCTCTTCTATCATATCATTTTCCACTTGGTCAGCAGTTTTGGGGCAATACTTGCTTACTAGTTCCTTACTCTGGTTCACTGTTTTCTTTAACCCACATGCCAGTATGCACAAGTTCAGCAGAAAGAACAGGACGATCAAGATGGTGAGCGTGATAAAGTGCTGGAGAGTTTTTGTTGTTTCCCACGGCCAACGTACCTGTTTTAATGCGGGCATCACCGGGATGACCTCTAGGGATGTGGCTGAAACGTCCCTCTCTGACTTGGCAGGTTTAGCGCAGTACTGTTCTAGAAGAGCTAGGTTACAACTGTTAAAACAACACTCTTCCACAATCCCACGATTTTGAGAACGTCGACTGTTCGACCTGCTAGTTGGTCGACCTGCAGAGATACAAATGAAGATCATGAGTTTAGTAATGTTCTGGTTACATTTCAGACAAAATCACTTAATTCTGTCATTATTTACTCACTCTCAATTCCAAACATGTGTTTCAAACCATTTTTTGTCCAGGCAATGAAAGTCGTTGTTTTGAACACCATTGACTTTTGTTGCATGGACAGTTCCTCTGTTATTCAAAGTATCTTGATCCTCAGAAAAAAAGATATGCAGTTTTGGAAGGGCATGAGGGTGAGTAAATGTTGACAGATTTTTCTTCTTTTGAGTGAACTATCCTTGTAAACTAGCCTAAACTGTTTTGCTGGTCTCTGAGTGATGGTTTAGATGGACGAGTCAGATGATGGTTAAGTTGGGTTTTGGGCTTTTGTCAAGTCAGCTGACAGACCAGCTAACTCTACTGGAAAGGCTTACTAAACCAGCCTAAGCAGGTTTGCTAGTTTTAAGTCTCCAAGCCTGGTCAAGTTTATCTGGGTGTCCAACTAGTCATCCAGCCTGGCTAGCTGAAAAGTGAAAAGAAAAAAAAACTAATACCAGCCAATAAACTAGTATAGACTTGATGTTTTTTTAAGCTAACCACCAAAAAGGCCATGCTGGAAGACCATCTGACCATCTTAAACCAGTTAAGACTAGCAAACCAGCTAGTTTGAACCATCATAGCAAGAAAGAGATTTGGCTCAAACTGTCTAAAGAGCCACCATCAAACATGCAAACACATTCAACAAACCCTACTAAGTCAATGTAAATCAAGCTACAGTGGCCTGATTCTATTGTCAAAGCAGATTCATTGTGTTTTGACTGGGACGCATCTGCGGTGTATAATAAAGCCAAAATCAGTGGCATAAAATGGAGTCTGTTTATTTGTTTTCTCGTTGGGATTGATCTTGTTATACCATCTAATTGAGCTGTTCGAAATCGGTTTAGAAGAATTCACCGGCAGCACGTTCCCAGGAACGGAAGATCGAAAGCTTACAAATAAGACAGCGAAAGAGTTGAAGGGCAAAAGTCTTTGCTTTTGTTTGGATGAGTAAATGGTGGATATCCTTTGACCTTGTCCTTTGCCAGCTCAGCAGAGATAAAGAGAGCATGAAAGAGAGGAAGGGGGAGGGGTGGAAGAACAGACTTGGCATGAAAGAGTGAAGATACAGGACACAGTAATGGAGGAGAGAAAGCCGGACTGGGAAAAGGAAGGAACAATTGATTTTCAGTCAAATATAATGCGAACGACTTGTGCTTCTCACAGTTGCCACGATCTGAAAGGGAATTCTTGATTGCAGGATGGGAAACATTGAACAAGAGTGGATCTGGTGGATAGAGGGGGGAAAATCTGCGCTGGCCCAAATTGGATAATGATCTTTCGGGGTAGTTAGGCTTCTGCGGCCAAAATAACACAAAGGCCTTGTCTGTTTGTCAGTGCTGACGAGAGGAAGATGACAAATATTTAAAAAGTTGTGCTCTCGACCCCCTCCGTTCAGTGTACAACCAGCAGATGTATCTAAATGTATCGCATTAAACGTATTGGTTAATATCTGTTACGCTAAACTAGTAATGAAGCTGTCTCAATCTATCCAGCCGTGTAAGAGGACAAACAACTTTTTTTTTTTCAATTGAGTGTAGCCTGGGAACATTTCTGGAGAGGTGAATGGAATGCCACTTGGGTACTATTACTTTCCCTGACGGAATGTGCAAGTAAACAACCAGGCCATTGAGGCTTATTTAGCATCCCTTTCATATGCAATCACAGATATCGTGAGAGAATGCACCCAGTCAGCACAATCTGCCGAGACTTCGCTCGTAACTCTGGTCATTCATGACATACAATTGGCAGGCTTTCCAACTCCTAAGCAAAAGCAAAGAAAATACGAAGTGCAAATGTACGTACTGAAATAGAAACCTCTGTCTTCACACACAAACTGTAGCGCGTCCACCAGCTCTCCGCCGCATAACGTTTCAGCTGAAGCCACTTCGAAGGCAGACAGGGTTAAAAACAGTATGCATATGGGCATTCGTAAGGACCAGTACATCTTTATGACCTGCGGAGATAACACGTTTTAGTTAGTTTAGACAGTTTTAACATGTGCATTTCATTTTTAATGTATAAAGCTGCTGTTTTTCTTTTTTTTTTTATGAAGATCCCATGTATACCTGAACTTAATACTAAACGTTTTCCTTCCTCAAGGCATTGAATTCAGTAATGCAGTCCTTCAGTGTGTGCATGCATGGCCATCGATTTTTCAATTATCTGCCTGATCACATGGTCACAATCAGTATGTCAATGTACAGTATGGAAAACGTGTCTTCATGACCTGGAAAGCATGCATTATAGTTCACAACAGGCATTTTGTCAAAGTAGGCTATAAAATGCATTATTTGTGCATGCATGTTTTTTTTTTTCTGGTCAGTTTTAACAAGAGCTATATATCTGCTGATTAATAATACTGGACATTTTCAACTTAAATTGCAGTGTTGTTGGTCAGATCTTGAGGAACTGTAATTTGTTTCTTCAATGCACTGATTTCTCCTATGCAGTTCTTAATACATTCTGAGAATTTGTATGCATGCATGACCTCCAGTTTTTTCAATTATGCATGTCATTTTTAACCGTAAAGATGATGCTTTAAGGTCGACCTGCTGATCAATTATCCTCAACATCGTCCGTGGGTATCTGTCATTAGTTCCTCCAATGCATTCAATTCGCCAATGCAATTCTTCAAATACACTGGAATTCTACTTGCATGCATCGAGTTTTTGATTATCTGCTTAACGCTAGATGATGAATTGTTATCCAAGAGCTTTTATCTCCTCCTTTACACTCTTACACAACGTTCAACAAGTTGCAAGACTGCTCAAAATACCCAGCTATCTCATTCATCACAACTCAGCATATAATTTCCTTAAATCCAGCTCATTTAAACTGCTGTCGCCCCCTTGCGCAACTTCTTTCTCCTGCGCGCGTATCCAGAATAAAGTCCGTTTTTATTTGGGAAAGCGCTTTTCGAAATACACACAGTTTCAAAGCAGCTTTGCAGAAATGCATAGGGTTAATGTTTACAATGCCTTATTTAGAAGTTCAGCGCTGTCAAACTGTAGAGCTGTTATCAATTCAGAGTGACAAAAACATCTCCAATGCATTGCGCGCACCGCTCGTGCAAGAGAAAATGCGTCTAAAAATCTTACCTTTTCCGATAATGCCAATTTCTGATTTTTAAAATACGATTCTATTTTTGCAAGTTTATAAAAACGATTTTTTTCCCTATTTAATAGAGCTTATCTATTGCACTCGTCGCAGATTTGTCCAAGATTCCGTAAAGGTTGTAAAAAGACTTTCTTTACCTTATTTATGACACTGTCTGTTCTCAAGCAGGTATGGCAAAAAGAATGTTTTAGTTGGTCCTCCATGTCAACATAAAAAAAAAATGCTGTGCTGTTGTATTTGGTTAAGAAGGTCGGTTTAGTTTCCCCAGTTGGTGTTAAGATGGCGGTCAGTCGTCTCCAGCAGTCCGGCCGAGTTCCCTGCTGCTGTTTTCCAAGAATTCCAGATCACAAAAAGAGAGAATATGGCATAACACCTTATTAAAATGTCCAACATTTTCTGTGCGTTCCTAAAATGTAACGACGTCAAGCAATTAGTTTTTCCCCCAAATGATTTGAACAGCGTATCTAACCCGAATCATAAATAAAGACATGTGCAATTAAAACAGTAAATAAACAGGAAAGTAAGTAATACTGTAAAACAAAACGAATGGAAATAAATAAATGAAAAGTTAAATATTTCAGAAATGCACACGTCACCAATATCAGTGTATTATCAGTTTGTGTAGGCTAACTACCAGAGTTCCTGACAGGACAGTCGATGTGTAAAATTTTACAATGGAAAGTGCCCCGGATGATAAGGAGAGAAGATGAAACGCTTTCTGCCGCCATTTCCTCTAATATCCACCTGCCTTATCGATCCTCATATATATATATACACACACACACACACACACACATATATATATATATATATATATATATATATATACACACACACATTTTGAAACTCATTTTAGGACTTGAAATCTTAAATAAAATTCCATTTTTAAGTTAAAACTGTTGGGTGGTTAAATAAAGTACCGTGTAAGTGACTGACAAAACGTGGAGGTCTGCGTTCAGAAATGTTGTATTGTGAAATGACCAGCTCCTTTCCCAAACCAAAGCTGGTTTTGCCAATGAACAGTGTTTACTGCTAAATAGCCTGAAGTCTGTGAGAAATTACAGAATTTGCAAAAGTATGATACCTTTTTGTGTGGAAATGGCGCCTCTGCTGGTAAAATGGCGAATAGCACTACATGAAGAAAAAAAAAGGGTCCTGCTGCTGGCATGAATTATCAATGCACTCTGTTACTGGAAGCACCATTATAAAGACATTAAACCTTTCTTCCTCTGTCTCCTATTATCCATCAGATGAGGGAAGCAGGAAACCCAAAAGATCTGTAGGGCCTTGCAATAAATCATTCACTCCATTCAGTAAGCAGCATTTTCATCTTAGTCACATTGCCACGTACAATAATGGATAGAACTGCCCGTGATACAGGACCAAGCAGTCCAGCACAAATCATTAAATGCCGTCGATAAAAAGCTCAGGAGACTTTATGAAGGCTACAGTCAGCAATATCTAATACTTAGCATGAATAGCTTTTTGTTTTAAACTCAGTGACCTCAATTTAATGGTAAAAATGAGGTAAACTACAATCTTCAGGAATATCTCAGTCTTAGTTAGAGGAATATCCTACACCTACTGATTTACTACATGACGTATTCCACTGTGGGATTCTTCCCGTCGTCGTAAAATGTATTTAGTGGTTGGTTGCATATTCGAATGGCAGATCTTTCCCACTAACTAGATCCAAAATCTGAATCCTTATCCCATTCCTAACCTCATGACATGACCTTTACAAAAGCCCTAGTCATTATGCTGTTCTGTCCGCTCACCCAAAAAGTGCTCGTGTTGAATGCCTCACCTACGTACAGTACATGCTTAGACTACCATCTGGTGGTGGTTGTTTTCTTTAAAATAAACCGTTTGTAGTTTCAGTCCGATGAGTTTATTCAGAATGGCTATCTAGTTTTCTGAAACCAACATTCTCAGACTTGTTTTTCCTGTAAAAGGAATTAATGGAAGGTGCGACTGAACATAACATCAGAAAGTCAACCACAAGTACAGTTTGGGATATTTTCAAACATATTTCTTTATATTAGCACATCATAGCCACTTTGCACACCGTTTTCTTGCAACTTTATTTACGCTTAAATAATAAAAATGGCATTTCCATTTTTGCGCCATTGTTTGCAGAGATAGACTATTGCAACATTCATATTTCATTCTCTGGAGACAGATAAATATGAACAGGCAACAGTCTGTAGGCCTGTATTATTTCATGAATGACTCACTGTATTCAGTATTAATAAAATATTTCTACTATCTGTAAGAGAATACTATTTTAAGAATATATTTGGAATACTAATACATTCAGAATTTATATTGATAATACGTATTTGATTATATACTGTACATATTTTAATTTATTTTAGTGTAGCACTTCATCTAGTGGTATTTCATAAATAACTTTTGGCTTCAATAGCTTTAATAACTTGATTTACACTGGGTAAGATCTATCTCAAAAAAATGTATGTCATATTGACACAGTTTCTGTTTATTCACAGAGTGATCCATTAATCCAGCGATAGCGATAGTTCATCTAAAAATGAAAATGTTGTGTAGAAAATGAAAGAAGATATTTTGAAGAATGTTGGTAACCAAACAGTTTCAGTTTCCATTGAATTCCACTGACTTTATTTATTTATTTATTTATTTATTTATCCATATGGTAAAAATCAATGAGAATAAAAACTGTTTGGTTACCAACATTTAAAATATTTTCTTGGTAGATATTTTGAAGAACGTTGGTAACTAAACCGTTCGGTTTCCATTGACTTCCATTATATTTTTTTTCGTCCATAAAATGTAAGTCAATACACGTGAACCGGAATAGTTTGGTTACCAACATTTAAAATATCTACCAAGAAAATATTTTGAAGAACGTTGGCAACTAAACAGTTTTAGCTTCCATTAACTTTAAAGGAACACTCCACTATTTTTGAAAATAGGCTCATTTTTTTTTTGAGCGAGATGCTAACGGTCTAATCAGATTCAATGATCTATGCTAAGCTGCAGCTAAAAGTGCTACCGCCAGACCCGGAGATCAGCTGAATGGATTCGAAAACGGTAAAACTCAACTGTTTAACTCTAGGGGAGTTGGAAAATGAGCCTATTTTCAAAAATAGTGGAGTGTTCCTTTAAGTATATTTTTTGTCTATACAATACAAGTTAATGGGAACCGGAACTGTTTGGTTACAAACATTTAAAATATCTTCCATGAACATATTTTGAGGAATGTTGGTAACTAAACAGTTTCGCCTCCCATTGACTTTCACTGTGTTTTTTGTCTATACAATGCAAGTCAATGGGAACCAGAACTGTTGGTTACCAACATATAATATATCTACTAAAGACTGTCTCTCTTCCGTTGAACTTGAAAGAACATATTCTAAAGAATGTTGGTAACCAAGCAGTCTTGGTTACCATTGACTTCCATTATATGGACAAAAAATACAATGGAATTCAACAGGAACCAGAACTCTTTAGTTACCAGAATTCTCCAAAATATCTTCTTTCGTGTTCCACAGAAAGTCATACAGCTTTGAAACAACATGTGGGGGTGAATAAATAATGACAGAATTTTCATTTTTAGGTGAACTATCCCTTTAAGGTTTCTGGAATCAACTACAGGCTTGAGGTTTTGAGGTTGGTACTCAGCGTTTTAAAAGCAACAACGTCTGTAGCAGCAGATGTAGACATAAACGCACAGCATAACGATGAGACCGTCACATATGAAGCAGAGAGGAACAGGACAGCTGATTGGCTCCTCGCAACAGAATCAAGCCAACACATTCAGGGCATCCGTGAGAATCTTCAGTTCATCTTTAATGGTCTCCAGCCCCTGCTGGATCTTCAGTGGGTTATCCAGCACTTCTATGCTGTCTGTGTACGGGTCAAACCGCACAGAAAATGGTCTCTTGATGTGGGTCACATATGCTCTGTTTCAAAAGCAAATGAGTAAAGTTATTGTCATACAAACAACTGTAACTATTTCACTTCAAACATTTAAGACAATAAATAAAAATGTATAAAATGCATAAATCCTTCTTTTTTAATCTTTGCGAAATACGTTTAGAAAGTTTTAATAAAATAATAAGTAAAATAAGTTTATGTAGTTATGTAAGAAGAAGAAGAAGGCGAAGAAGCCACATTGCAAGACAATTAAAAATTAATCTAAAATATACAATTTTCCCTATATATCCATAAATATTTGAACCAAAAGTCTTGTTCATTTAAAAAAAAGTTAATGGACATGTTATGCATCAAAAAAAAATAAATTTTCAATAACAGTTGTAGTTATTTGATTGCAAACAATAAAGAATAAAATGCAAATGCATTTAATAAATATCATTTAGCACCTTTTATTTTATATTTTATTCTGAGAATTTAATTTTGTGCTGTATATGTTTTAATCATCATACATATATTACATAAAATCCTTTACAGTACCTTTTATTTTAGATATATTTTTATTTTAGCACCTTTTATAAATAAATAAATAAATAAAGTTGTAATTATTCCATTTCTAATAATTATTATAATTTGTTTTATAGAGTATTATAATCATTTCCTAATTTATTTTGACTCAAATGAACACATATATACAAACACATTGTTTTTTTTGTTGTTTTTTTTTCCATTTATTCATTCATAATTGTAATCAAGATATATTTTTATTTTAGCACCTTTTATAAATAAATAAATAAATAAAGTTGTAATTATTCCATTTCTAATAATTATTATAATTTGTTTTATGGAGTATTATAATCATTTCCTAATTTATTTTGACTCAAATGAACACATATATACAAACACATTGTTTTTTTGTTGTTGTTTTTTTTTTCATTTATTCATTCATAATTGTAATCATAATTGTACACTGCTACGTTTAAAAATAATTTGTTAAAAAATAATGTTTTATCACCATACATTATATAAAAATCACTTACAGTACTTTTATTTTAGTTTGTTTTTATTTTATTTTAGCACCTTTTATATATAAATTAATAAATAACAGTTGTAATGATTCGATTGCAAGTAATTATTATTATTAGTGAGCATTTGTTTTATGAAGTATGTTAATCCTAGCCAATGTTTCAAAAACAATTTTTAACATGTATTTTTCACTGATAGCTATTTATATGATGGCCAAACGCACAGTACTGACAGCAACAGATTATTTGATGCAGCTCACCTCAGTTTCTCTGTAGCATCTGAGAAGCTTTCAGACACAAAATAGACGGGCTGGTAAGTCTGATCCTGGTACGGCTGAACAGCTACAGTGTCCGGGTCAAATTCCCGTCGCTCTGGCTCATCTGAGAGAGAATGCTGAGAAAATGGGTGACAGTAAATGTCAAATGCTTTTACCATGAAAAGCAGCAAAATAGTTGATTTAAAAAATGACCGACTGCCACCCACCACCAGCTCGCCATAAGACGAGAGCAGTCCTGCTCCATATGCTTTGACCGTCCCTGCCTGCTTACACAGTCCAAACTCCACTGTGAACCAGTACAGCTGAAAACACACAGCAGGACAAACACATTCAGTGCTGTTACTAGAGCAGCGTTTGAAGAAGATGTGGGATGTTTCGTACTTACTGTTGACAGTTTCTCGATATCTTTATCAGAAGCACCAAGAGAGGCCAGACCAATACTCTGAGAGAACAGAATTCGCAATACAGATTGAATTTGTAAGGAAATATGAGATACGTAAATACAGTTGACGTTTTTACCTGAGAAAACTGTGCAAATGTTCTGTCAGCCAATATCGGTACATGTCCGAGAAGTTCATGGACACAATCCCTGGAGTGGAAAACATTCAATTATTGTGATTATTTGTGACCGCTGTGCCATTGTTTTCATAAAGTGAACATTACTTTACTAAGCAGATAGCTAATGTCTGGACGTAAATCGAATGCATAATAAACAGTCTTCATAAACGTAAACAGTGGGACAGAAAGTGTCTTACGGTTCAGGCGAGTGCATGGGGGAGGAAGCGTGCCGTATGTATTGTGTGCACTGGAACACACGGAACGCCAGGCTGGCCAGAAAATCCCGAGCAGAGAGTAGACCTGCCACCGGACGCAGCTGAAACCCTGTGCGCTCTTCATACAGGACAGACAGAGAGAGAGAGACTCACCACCAGCATTCTGGGTGGTTGCCAAGGTGTTGCTATGCAGTTGCCAGAGTGATTACTATGGCGTTGCTATGCAGGTGTTCTGAGTGGTTACTATGGCAGTGCAATACTGTTCCTACAGTGCTCTAAGTGGTTGCTAGGGTGTTCTGGGTGGTTGCCAGGGTGTTGCTATGTGGTTGCTCGAATGTTCTAATTGATTTCTGTGACACTGCTATGCAGGTGTCCTGAGTGGTTACTATGGCAGTGCAATACTGTTCCTACAGTGCTCTAAGTGGTTGCTAGGGTGTTCTGGGTGGTTGCCAGGGTGTTGCTATGTGGTTGCTCGAATGTTCTAATTGATTTCTGTGACACTGCTATGCAGGTGTCCTGAGTGGTTACTATGGCAGTGCTATACCGTTCCTACAGTGTTCTAGGAGGTTGCTAGGGTGTTCTAGGTGGTTCCTGGGTGTTCTGGCTGGTTGCCAAGGTGTTGCTATGTGGTTGCTCAGGTGTTCTAGGTGATTTCTGTGACACTGCTATGCAGGTGTTCTGAGTGGTTATTGTGGCAGTGCTATACCATTCCTACAGTGTTCTAGTAGGTTGCTAGTGTGTTCTAGGTGGTTCCTGGGTGTTCTGGCTGGTTGCCAAGGTGTTGCTATGTGGTTGCTCAGGTGTTCTAGGTGATTTCTGTGACACTGCTATGCAGGTGTTCTGAGTGGTTATTATGGCAGTGCTATACCATTCCTACAGTGTTCTAGGTGGTTGCCTGGATGTTCTGGGTGGTTGTCAGGGTGTTGCTATGTGGTTGCTTGGGTGTTCTAGGTGATTTCTGTAACACTGCTATGCAGGTGTTCTGAGTGGTTACTATTGCAGTGCTATGCTGTTCCTATGGTGCTCTGAGTGGTTGCTAGGGTATTCAGGGTGGTTTCCAGAGTGTTAGTATGTGGTTGCTAGGGTGTTCTAGACGATATGTATGACATTGCTATGCAGGTTTTCTGAGTGGTTACTATCATGTTCCTATTACTACAAAATTTCAGGGTGGGTTGCTTCTGGGTGGTTGCCAAGGTGTTCTGTGAGGATGCTAAGGTGTTCTTTGTGTTTGCTAAGGTGTTATAGGTGGTTGTCAAGGTGTTGCTATGTGGTTGCTCAGGTGTTCTAAGTGACTGCTATGATACTGCTATGCAGATGTTCTGAGTGGTTACTATGGCAATGATATACCATTCCTACAGTGTTCTGAGTGGTTGCCAGGGTGTTGTAGGTGATTGCTACGACACTGCTATGCAGGTGTTCGAAATGGTAACTATGGCATTGCTACATTGTTCCTTTGGTGGTTACTAAGATGTTCGGGTGGTTGCTAGGGTGTTGCTATGATGACGTTCTAAATGGTCACAACAAGGGTGTCCTAGGTGGTTGCTATGGCATTACTTGGTTGCTGTAGCATAGCTCGGGTATTCAGGGTGTTGGTATGTGGTTGCTAGGGTGTTCTCGATGAGTTGTTTGACATTGCTTTGCAGGTTTTCTGACTGGTGGGTTTCAGGGACATTTCAGGGTGGGTTGCTATGGCGTTGCTATCTGGATGTTCTGGTTGGCTGGTAAGGGCTATTGGTAGCAAGGGTGTTGCTATGTAGTTGCTAGGTGGTTACTAAAGTGTTCTGGGTGGTTGCCAAGGTGTTATATGAGGTTGCTAGGGTGTTCTATGTCATTGCTAAGGTGTTCTGGGTGGTTGCCAGGGTGGTACTGTAGGATAAAGTTGCTGAGTGGTTGCTGTGGCATGGCTGTCAGGTTGCTAAAGTGTTCTAGGTGATTGCTAGCATATTCTGGGTTGTTGCTAGGGTGCTGGTACGTAGTTGATGGGTGGTTGCTGCAGAAATTCTATGAGGTTTCTTCGCCATCTTCAAACTAAGATGGCGGCGCGTTCACACGCTGCGGCTTCTCTCTCTCCCGACAGAAAGGTGTTTTCGTGTTTTTTGTCTTGTGAGTCGCAGTGTTTTTGTACGTATTCGTCGCGTCTATCTGTCTCTAAGCGCGCATACAGTCGTGAGTTTCTGCTCGATGTCGGCAGAACCACATTTTTAGAGTTAAACTCTGCGCACGCCGAAGAGCTGCGGGATCTCGGTCTGCTCCGGAGGCCCACACCATCACCGACCCCCACTACTGCATCTCGCCCACAGCGGAGGCACCACAAGCGGCGCGAGAGGAAGCAGAAGAGGGGTAAGCGCGGAGGTATCCGGGCTAGGCTAGCGGCTAACCCACACAAGCCAGCTATCCCCACCATCGTACTGGCTAACGTACGCTCTTTGGACAATAAACTGGACTACATCCGACTACTACGCTCAACTCAGAGGACTGTAAGAGACTGTTGTGTTTTTGTGTTCACGGAAACATGGCTCAACAACAGCGTTCCGGACTGCGCTATTCATCTCGATCAGCTGACATGCTATCGAGCGGACAGAGCTCGCGTCGAGGGAGGTAAGACCCGCGGCGGAGGGCTTTGTGTTTACATCAATGATGCGTGGTGCCGCGATGCTGTTGTGGTCTGCAAACACTGCTCACCCCTGGTGGAGTTTATGATTATTAAGTGCCGGCCGTTCTATCTACCGAGGGAATATACAGCCATACTGCTCGTTGCTGTATACATCCCTCCCAGCTCCAACAACAGCAACAGGAGCGAGGCACTAAATGAACTGTACGGGAGTGTCAATTTACGTTTTTTCACTGTAAATTATACAATGCCTTTTTCTTTTTCACTTCCAAAAACCGTATTTTAACAGTATTTTACATTAAATGTAATTACATTTATTCACCGAATATAGTATGGAAAACTTACTGTTAACCAGTTAACAGGTTTTTACTCTAGCATTTTTACAGTCTTTTACTGTTAAAATCACAATCATTTTTTACAGTGTATGTCTGCATATGTCTGCATATGTTTTATTATTATTTGTTGTAGTCTTATTGAATATGTTTTGAATATCTGTTTTAATAGTTGAGTGTTTTGCATTTATGTTTTTTTTTCTTGCAATTTTATCTTTCGATGTACTTTCTGCAATAATTCAATCTCAGTATTGCTAAGCAGAAAAGTAAATAAATTTCAAACCTCAAACTAATATATGAAAATCTATTTATACATTTGATTTTCGAATAATTGAAATACATAAATAAATGTAAGAATACACATATATATTGGTATATTATCATATAAAATATTAATATATATAAAATGAACAATTAATTAATAAATGTACTTTGTCTTTTTTTGCATTTTGTTGTTACTTAAGAACATATATATCAAGAAAAAATTGTATTATTCTTCATAATTAGATAAGTATATAAATTAATAAATGATTTTTTCAGATTTTTTTACATTTTGCTATGTTGCTCAAGAACATATGCAAAGAAAATTCTATTCTTCTACATATTCGGACTTCAGATTAGACATTATTGTTTAGAATTTAAACATTGTTTATATTAAAAATATACCATTGTTTTTTTTTTTCTCTCTTTCACAAAAACTGTTTTCTTGGTATGCAGTACATTATAACTAATATTTTATATTTCGAAACAAAGACTAAGTAGTTGTCAAAAAAAAAAAAAACGTAGGCCTAATAATTTAAAAAGATCATAGTTTTGAAATAGTTCTAAAGGAATGAATAATAATCCAAGGAGAATAATAAAAAGTAGTTTTTTCTTAAATTTTTTTTTTTTTTTTTTTTTTTTTTACTTAAGTGATTCACATATGATTCTTATTTGAGCCCAGTAGGATTCTTACTAATATAGAACTTCCAAGATCCGTCTTTTACGATTTTCTTCAGGATATCTTACCTCAAAAACCTTAAGAGTGCGGGACAGCGCTGGACTCGTTGAACTCCTCAGAGAGAAGAAGAGACTGAGCAAGGCTTTTCCATCGCTCTCCTCAAACACGATCTGCTCGCTGAGTCCCGCAGCCTCCGCCGCCGCGGCCGCCGCCTCGCGCTCCTTGCGCGCATCCTCGATCAAACTCTGCCGCCTTCCCACAAACTTCTGAGACTGTCAATGAGAAGAGCGCGATTCATTTAAGACCACACATTTCTATCAATTTAAAAGATCCATCTAGACCAGAAATAATAATAATAGGCTATAGCCCTGCTTACCTTCTGGACATCTGATAGAGGTGATTTACATCTCCAAAATCGCATAAGAACTTCAATGCAGTCTATGTAAACCTGCCATATAGCTCAGACTTAATCATTTGCTTATCAGCCGATGATACAGCCACATATAGACTGCTTTCAATAGCTTTTGATCACCGCGTAATGCTGTGCGTAAATCTCAATGGAGAGTCCATTTACGCACAGCAAAACAGTGATCTGTAGGAATGGACGTGCATCAAAAATGCTACACTATTTTCAATCATATCCGAACAGTTATTTCACAAAATTTTACTCAAATGTATGAATTTAATTGCATCATATAACATCAAACTAAGTGGCACCTGCAAACAAATGCGGAGCTAACTTCATGAATTCTACAGTTTTTGATTTCATTTTGCATTTATTGATTGATTGATAATGTATAATTCTATTTACGATGTGTATATGTCATTATTTTATATATACATATTTAAATGTTAATTTATAACAAGAAGAAATGGCACTTGGTTCGGTATCTTGTTTTCTAATGAAATAAAATTCATACATTTTAGATGATGCAACATACTTAATTTTGGGATTACTGTATTTGCATACCTGAGTCATAATCAGTACATTTATGTCCATGACGAAACTCCTTTTTTTTTTTTATCATAAAATATTTCGAAATCGACGAGGAGGGGATGTCAACTTATTCTTTTTTTTATTTGCATTCTTAATTCTAATGCTATTTAACATGAGTGAAGAATATAGTTGAAGACTCTTACCGTAATGGAATCGGAGCGCTCGTTTATATATACATATTTAAATGTTAATTTATAACAAGAAGAAATGGCACTTGGTTCGGTATCTTGTTTTCTAATGAAATAAAATTCATACATTTTAGATGATGCAACATACTTAATTTTGGGATTACTGTATTTGCATACCTGAGTCATAATCAGTACATTTATGTCCATGACGAAACTCCTTTTTTTTTTTTTTATCATAAAATATTTCGAAATCGACGAGGAGGGGATGTCAACTTATTCTTTTTTTTATTTGCATTCTTAATTCTAATGCTATTTAACATGAGTGAAGAATATAGTTGAAGACTCTTACCGTAATGGAATCGGAGCGCTCGAGTTCAGACGCAGCTCTCCGGACGCTCTTTGTGGAAGATGTGGAGCTGCTTGAATTCGGCATATCGGAACAGATGAAGGTATCTTGTGCTCTCTTGGGACTGCAGCTCACTTACTTCCATCTGCAGCTTTCTTTCCCGCTTATTTATAGAGATGCTTTCTCCTGACTGACGTCAAACTGACCTCCGTCATTGAACATCTTGAAGCTCCTCACACCACATTCGTTCATAATTTGATTCTGACTTTGCTACGTAACTGTCTGTTTACATTGCCAGCGCGTGTCTCACTAAATCATCGGCCAATTATCAGTGTATGAATGAACAATGTGCACTTTAAAAAGTGCGGTGACCTGCATTTGGTACCTTAAACAGCCATTTTTACCTGATCTGACTCATACAGATTTGTTTTGTTGGTATAAATGAACCAACAATGAATGAACAAACAATGAATGAAATGTATTTTGGTTCATTCGGTGATGAAGCCAGCATAAAACCAGTTCGTTTAGCATTTTTTTAGTGCGGTGGTTATATGAATAACGTTTTACACATGAATAATATGTCAAATTATTGTAGAATTTTTCATTTTTTTCATGTATGACTTCTATAAAAATTAATCACATAATTCAACATTCGAAAATTCCAAATTTTGTATGACCTCCTATAGAATGAATTAAACAATATATATCATTCATAATATATGAAGGTCAGGAAATAGTTTCATAGTGTGTGTGTGTGTGTGTGTGTGTGTGTGTGTGTGTTTTAACTGTTTAAATTGTGCTGAAAAGCTTAAAATATAGACTTCAAAGTAAGGTAGGCTATGTGGCTATAGAAAATGACTGAAATAAATATAATTTATTTTTGTTAATAACATAATAGTTAAAGCCATCCCAGTAATATTTAGTTTAATATTCATAGATGTAGGTTGATTGATTGATTGATTGATTGATTGATTGATCAAAAAAGAGATTTATCAGCCATTCAGCATCATTAAAATATTATTTTTTTTTTTTTTACATATTTTTACATTATTTTATATTTACTGTCTATAAAATATCTGAAAAATAACTAATAAGATAGTGGGGCCTGTTTTAGGCTTCTCCTAATTTTTATATTTTAGACATCCATTAATTAGTGATGAAAAAATATATATTGCGGCGCTGGTGGAAACAACACGAGACCGTGCTACTGAATAACCGTAAATTGACATTCCCAGAATTCCCTGCGTTACATTTCAAATTTGATATTGTTTTTTTTTTTTTTAAATAACTATGTTTCTTCTTAGTTTTTTTCTTGTAAGTGTTGTACATTAGGGTTGTATGTTACGAACGAGCCGTTTTAGGTAGGCGTGGCTGACTCTTAACTTTGATAAAGAATATCTCTTTGGATTTGAGACTTTAGTCTTTACAACTTTACAGATCTTCTTTATGCACCAAGAGCTTGTAACACTCCAAAGAGAAAGGAAAAAATGAAATCGCATCATATGACCCCTTTAAATAATGTTTATTGCATTATTTCAGTTTGATGTGTGTTACCATGATTCTATAGATCAGTGGTTCTCAAAGTGTGGTACTCAGGCTCCCTCTAGTGGTATGCAGAGGAATCACTAAATTAAATATAAATTAATGTTAAAACACAATACATTTTAATTTAATCTTTATTTGAGTGAAGTTTTTTTTTTTTTTTACATTGAAGTACAGTGCAGTTTTTATTTAACTTTTTGGTACAATTTGGTACAAATTTTTAAATTTGTTATTTACCTGTTCGTAAGCACTGTGCAGTGTTAATGTTCAAACTGTGTATTTACAATGTTAAAGTGGCTGACAACAATAAATAGTCTTATTAGGAATAAAACTGCCTCGTTTTTGAACTGTGCAGAGCTGTAGCTTTTGGTGGTTATCAGTGTATTACAAAGGTACAAAACAGATTTCAGTACTTCAATAGGTTGGTATATTAACATTATATCAGTTAATGAAATTACGGTATTTAACTGTAAATTTAAGTAAAAACCGTAAAAACTAAAATGTCGCTACCATATTTTTTACGGTAAAATTCTGGCAACCACAGCTGCCGGTTTTTTTTTTTTTTTACGGTGTACAAAGTCATAATTATGAGTGGGAAACTCTGGAATTTTAGAGTTTCGAGGTCAGTGTGAAAAAAAATTTAATGTTGAAATTGATTAAATAAAATTCAAATACTAGCTGAAAGTTGCACATACAAAATACAAGTTTACATTGCCTTCATAAATTGAATAAAAACATAAAATTGAATCAGTTTGCTGTGATTGTTTTAATAGAAAAAGTACATCTCCATCCTGCTAAGACCAAAGTGATATGAACACACCTGACATCGTAATAGAGTGTATAAGTGCTCATGCACTTTTTCCCATTCATTTTTCCCAAGTCTGAATCACAACATTACAAACTTTGATTTGAAGCAAAAAATATTTGAAAAGTAAACAAAAAGGCACAAGGTACAAGACTGTGTACTATAAGGCAAAGAACTACAATCCTATGAAACATAGCAAATGACATAGTCAACAATCACTAGCTCAACTGATGTTAAAAAACAATGATTCATCCATTAAGTCACAAAACACAATTGTCACAACTGTCGGTAACACTTTAGATTAGCAAACACATATTCATTATTGAATTATTATTGATAGTAAAGCAGTCGTTGCAATAGTTATGTGTGTAAGAGGTATTTAGTTATTGGTAGGGTTAAGGGATCTAGGATATGGTCATGCAGAATAAGGCATTAATATCTGCTTTATAAGTAATAATAAACAGCCAATATGCTAGTGATATGCATGCTAATAAGCAACTATTTAATAGTGAATGGTGTTCCCTAATCTAAAATGTTATCCAACTGACTGAATTCAGAATAAAATATTAGCATACTTCTCTTACTATTTCTGCCATCTATTTTAGAAAAAAGAATGAGTAGTATATAGTAGTAAACTATTTTAAATTCATTCAGAAACTTTCTAAATGAGTCATTGAATCATTTACTCAACCGATTTGTTCAAATTCAAAATACTGGATATATGTACATATAAAACTAAATTCAAAATCAAAGTAATGGACAAGGATTCAATCTGAGATTCGAAGCTGTAGTCCAATACCACTATATAGGCCTACTCTACAAAAACCTCTCTTGGGAACATGTCCTTGTTTGCTCTGAACGACACATGGATATTAACAGACGGATATAGGCACAATGATTTATCCATGAACCGCCTGATGCGCTGACTCACTGTCGTTTCCCCACACTGCAAACTGAGCGTCTTTGTTCTAAATGCCGTACCGAACTAGGTGACATCGATTTGGCATTCAATGTGCACTGTTTATTCATTTTTCCCCTTTTCTGTAAGTTACAGAAGAACCAACACCGGCACAGGGACAACAATTATCACAATTACGTATTGATTGGATGTTAGCCTCCTCCCGAAGGGGCCCGCAGCATAATTGTTAGACTTCAGACAGAGTAATTGCAGCACGCTCACAGCTGGCCGATTATACTTCATCCCCCACAATTCTTTTCTCTTTCCTTGATTCGTTCTTTCTCTCTCTTTTTTTTCTTCATTGAATGTTACCTTTCATCTCAACAGGGGTCATTAAATGCACAAATTGGGAGGGACAACAAATAAATATTCTATTAAATGTAATCAACTGTATTACTTAATAACCATAACAATGAGTATTTTGAATCAAATGCTGACAATAACGCATGAATGTGTCAGGTCTGTGAAACCTTTGGATGACATTTCTTGCTGTAGGTTTGTCTTGTTCACTGTGGTTTAAATGTATAAATCATGTTTCATTATACACCAGCTCTTAATATCTATGGAAAACAAGCCTTGTGGCACCTGTTGATTGTGCTAAACATACTTTTTTGAGGAAACATTATTCTAGCAAATTAAATCCTGCTCCACTAAAAATGGCATTCTTTACCATATTTAAAGGCAACGTTGAGGGTTTAAGCTTTTAGGGTTAAAATAAAAATTTATTCATCGTTTATTGGCCCTCATGTTGTTCCAAGCCTGTGTAACACAAAAGGAGACATTTAGAAGAATGGCCCAGGTGCTCTTTTCCATACAATGAAAGTGGACAGTAATTTTTACTACCAGGCCTAAAAATGGAAAAAAATACCACAAAAATACTTTTAATACAGTCTTATGAGTATTTTAAGACACTGATAGAGCTTCATCGGAGGCTAAAATTCATTGCAAAGACCATTAATTTACAGTCTGGACATCACCCTGGGTGATCAAAAACTCACAATTTTGCCCTATGACCACAGAAATCTTATAGGTTGACAGAAATTTGTCTCTGACAGCAAAATCGTTAAAGGGGTCATCGGATGCTACATGCACTTTTACAAGTTGTTTGAACTGAAATGTGTGTTGGCAGTGTGTGTACACAACCACCCTATAAAGATACAGATCCACCCAGTGTTTTTTTTATCTGGTTAAATGTTTTCCCCTTTCTCAAATCGAGCCGAACTCAGATGCCTGTCTGTGTGACGTCACACAGACAGGCCCCTCCCACAATAGTTTGATTGACAG